TCTAACTCTCTATCTCTCTCCCTTCCTCTCTGTAAAAAATCAATAAAATATACTTTAAAAAAATAAAATAAAAAATAAAACAGTGCTCTCACCGCGCGTGGTCCCTGGATTAACCGAAGCATTCCTGGGTACCCCTTAGAGATGCTTGGGTACCACCCACTCCAGACCTATGATAACTAAAACTACCGGAACAGGACCTCAGAAATACCCCCTGCTCTTCAGACTACATGGGGGGGAGGGGAGGATCCTGGACCAAACCCACGTGTCCTGCAGAGGGCGCACCTGCCACCGGCTCCCGCGGAGGGGGCGCCATGCAGAGGGGGACACGGGGTTGCTAAAGGAGCCAGAAACCCGGGGTTTTAAAATGTCCAGCTTTTTACATGTTGAGAATTAATTCAAAACTAAAAAAACAAGACCAAACACATCTGTAGTCTGGATTCACCAGGCAGGCTGCCTGGTTCAGGTTCGCAGCTAGAATTCATGTGCTCCTGCTATAAGCCAAGCCCCGAGAAATGCGTGATGAGCCTTACACCCCCCGGACAACCCCGTGAAATGTTGGAAAAGCTGTTGTTCAATATATGTAATGTCAGACAATATAAAATACAAAAATGACAAACCCGAATTTAATCAGGCCTGCAGAGCTGATGGCTGGTTTATAGGAAGTTTAGAGGACAGGGGAACACATGAAATTTGGAGGAAGAAGTATCTACCACGAGGGGGAAAAGTCAGATGAATTCAGGATGAGGGACATTCCTTAGGGCCCTGCTGCCCACTTCTCCCAGGTTCCTGGGGCCAGCGTCACCCCAGGCCCCCTCAGTGGAAGTTGTGGGCAGTTTGGTTGGGAGAGGGAAGAGAGGGGAGGTTTATAGTGACAGTGATCACAGTCCCACCAATGGTCTTGATTGATATGAAAATGTTGGGCTGATCAGAAATAGGAATGACAGGAGGTCCCAGCAGGCCCCTCTGGGGATTAAACAGCCAGGGCAGTGTTCAGAAAATTATAGAAATTACAGAAATCTAGAGGCCTGGTGCACGAATTCCTGTACTGGTGGGGTCCCTCAGCCAGGCCTGTGGGGATTGGGCCAAAACTGGCTTTCCGACATCCCCCGAGGGGTCCCAGATTGTGAGAGGGCACAGGCCAGGCTGAGGGACCCCACCGGTGCACAATTAGGTTCAGGGAGGGACCAAGGAGGGCTCCAGGGCGTGTCAGGTCCGACTCACTCAGTCTCAGCCGGACCCCAGCAGCAAGCCAACCTACCAGTTGGAGTATCTGCCCCCTTGTGGTCAGTGCATGTCACAGCGACTAGTCGAACAGTCAAATGAACTGTCGGACCCTTAGCATACTAGGCTTTTATTATATAGGATTGCTTTGCTTTTGTGCTACAACAATTAGCCAATCTTCCTCCTAGCCTGGCCCTTAGCAGTAGACATGCCTCCACCTACCCATCCATCCATCCATCCATCCATCCATCCATCCATCTATCTATTCACCCATCCACCCATTCGCCCATCCGTCTACTCATCCACCTAACCATCCATTCACCCATCCACTCATCCATCTACTCATCCACCTATCCATCCATTCACCCCTCCATCTACTCATCCATCCATCCATCCATCCATCCATCCATCCATCCATCCATCCATCCATCCATCCATCCATC